ACGAGAGAGAGAGAGAGAGAGAGAGAGAGAGAGAGGCTATTTTCCAATGGGGTTTTGGTTTGGTTCACTTTGAATCATTGGAGAGAAAGCCTTTCAACTACTATCAAGGTTCACTTTTTTGCAGCGGTGTTGGGGTGGGAAAGAGGGAGGTTGATCGATGGTATTGTCAGGTCAGGAGAGCAGGTTTAGAAGGGAAAATTGACTAGGGTTTTGTCAATATTTAGAGCTATATTTCTTCTCTCAAAAAAAAAAAATTTAGAGCAATATTTCTCTTGTAACCCAAAATTGTAATATTTATTGATGGTGGATTTTGACTTGCCAAGGTTGTCGATGGGGCCCTTGGGTGAACCAGCCAAATCTTTGTGTTTGGTGTGTTATTGTCTTTTATTTTGCTTGATTTCTAGCACTCCATTTGTGGTTGTCTTCGTCTATCCCATTTAGTCAATTATGCACGATTTTGAGTGGAATCCTGGTATTTGGGGTTCCTAGTTCTTCAAGCAAAGGATTCTCGAGGATCCTACATAAATCCATGTTTTATTTGATATTTTTTACAATATTTCCCTTTGATATTTTTTTGATGATACCACTGTAATTTATTCAACTAATGAATACTGGATAGGAATGTATTTTTTTTTCTTTTAAGTTAATTGTCTTTCATATAGTACATGTTATGATACAAATTTTTTGCATTCACAATCTGTGGATGCAACTCTTAAACATATTACAAAAGTGTGCTCTCAAAAAATGCTGCTCTTTAAAGAACTTACAAATTCTATGATCGAAGGTGAAAAAGGAAGAAGAAAAGAACGAGTGGTGCGGGAAAAGGAGGCAGGGAGAGAAGAAAGCAGTTTGTTTTTGGACCATGGAGCAACTGCCACCATAAAACTTTGTGAGACCCCAAGATTGATAATCTACTCCTTTTATGAGTTGTGGTGAGCGATGTCTGTTGTTGTGAGATTAACGCCATCCTTAGGAAGGTTGTCTGCCAGGGCATTGGTCCAGCGTTATCAACTTCAGGATGCAGATTGGATGGCTGTGATCTGTGGTTCTAATGAGGGCACATCAACTCTAATGCAGGTAATAAGGTTCGAAAAATTTAGAGAACTTAGGGAAAATTATCAAACTGCACCTGATATTTGAACCATTTAAAATATAACTCATTTATTTTATTATCTTATTTCAAATAGCCAATCTTTATTTTGATCAAATTTCAAATAGGCCATTAAATAACACATTCAAATGGGTTTTGAAATTTCTCAAATTACACCTATGGTAAAATGTTAGTTCAACTTTTAGGTGCATTTTTTTGATAAGTTTTTAAAAATTATAAAAATATGATATTGCAATGAATGACATGAATATTTGATTTATGTGACAGTAGGTTAATTTATTATTTATATCTAATATATCTATTGTCTAAGTCGATGATAACCTAATAGGCTGAGCAAGAATAAAGAGTTCTTGTCTCAGGTTGGCAATGAGCTAGGCTGGCTCAAGCCCTAACCTATTAGGGTCAGGCTGGGCCAAATAGAATAAAAGAAAAACAAAATTAAAAACAAACATAAAGAAAAAGGGCTGCCAGGTCGGGCTGGCCTTGGCCCAAGCCTGGCCTAGCCTGGTCCTTGGGCCGTGGTGGCCCTAGCTCAGTCCTCAAGCCACATTTTGTGGCCCAGGTCCTAGTTTTTAGGGCTGGGCTGGGCCAGTCCATTGCTACCCTATGTCTATTCTCATCTAATCTAATGCAATTAACATATAAAATAAATTAATCCATCTTATTTTAATTAAATTAAATAAAACACATACCAAGTGAAACATATACCAAGTGACCAACGAAGCACAAAAAATATATGAACATCGTGGAACCAAGGTACTGCTACACTTAAGGTTGTAGCATATAGACAAATGAGGCGGAGGTGAGATATATTTGCGAGATTAGGACATCTGAAGTGATAAAAGCTTTGAGGAGGATAAAGATAAGAAAGGCTTTAGGACCAAATGATATCCCTATAGAGGTTTGGAAGTGTATTTGGGAGATTAACATATGCTAGCTGACCGAACTGTTCAACAAGGTGTTGAGAACAAAGAAAATGCCAGAGAAATGGAGGAAAATTACTATGGTCCCTATTTGAAAGAACAAATGAGACATACTGAATTGTGTGAACTATTCAGGAATCAAACTTATGAGCCATACTATTAAGCTGTGGGAGAGAGTGATTGAGCAATGACTAAGGTATGAAACAAGTGTATCAGAAAATCAATTCGGTTTTATGTTAGGGAAGTCAACAATTTAGGTCATTTTCCTAATTATACAAATGATTGAGAAGTTCACATGGAAGGGAAAAGACCTCCACATGGTCTTAATTGAATTAGGGAAAGCTTATGATAGTGTACTTAGAGATTTAATTTGGCTAGTGTTTAAGAATAAATGAGTCTCTAGATGCTATATTGACATGGTCAAAGATATGTACAAAGGAGTGCTAACTATTGTGCAGACAATTAGTGGAGAGATAAGTAAGTTTTCAATGACCATAGGCTTACATCAAAACTCAGTGTTGAGCCCATATTTTTTTGTTTTAGTGATGGACAAGCTAATTAGGCATTTACAAGGTGGGGTGCCTGGTCTATGTTGTTCGCGAATGACATAGTTCTGATTGATGAGACTAGAAGCGGCAACAATGCAAAGTTAGAATTTTTGAGAGGTGCTCTAGAATCTAGAAGTTTTTAAATTGTCGGGTCTAAGACAAAATATATGGAATGCAATTAATAATAATATGAGCAGAAATAAGGAAATGGGTAATGGTGAAGAAATACCTAAAAGAGAGTATTCTTGATAGCTCGGGTCGATATTCTAAAATAAAGAGATTGAGGAAGATGTCACACATAGAATTAGAGCTGGGTGGGTGAGGGGGAGATGTGCAACTAGAGTTTTTTTTTATCGCCGCATATTAATGAAGTTGAAGAGGAAGTTCTATTGGACAACTTTGATACAAACTTTGCTTTATGGGATGGAATGTTGGCAGTCAAGGAACAATGTACCCATAGTATGATTGTAGTTGAGATGAGAATGTTGAGATGGATGAGTGGCAAGACAAGAAAGGATAAAATTCGAAATGAATGCATTTAAAGGAACTTAAGGGATGGCTTCAATAGGCAATAAGATGAGGGAAAGTTGACTTAGGTGGGCTTGTCATGTGCAACACAGACCCAATACAACACCAGTTAGGAGGTACGATTCGGTTCAAGTGAAAGGCTCTAAAAGGCTAGGGGAAGGCCCAAAAGGACATGGATAAAAGTAGTGAGAAAAGATACAGGAACTTATGTTCATACTAAGGGAATAGCCCTTGATAAAGAATGACGAAACATAATTTGTGTAGCTGATAGAGGTGGGTTGACTGCCTTTCTAGCTCTCTCCATGTTAGTCACCTATAGAGGTGCCTCTAAACCTCCAAAGCCTTTCCCCATCAACTCTAAACCTTGTTCCTCGAATCCCAAGTCCTCGTATGCCTTCAGTAGATTGGGGGTTGTGGCTTTTAAAGGCCTAGAGAGTGCAAGTGAAATTATTTATAATAGATTTTACACTTTAGTAGGAGCGTACTGTAGTTGACTAACCAAGGGTTAGGTGGTTTATGGCCCGGGTTATGTCCGAATATCCCTGGGCATGTGATACTACCGTTGAGGGTCTATAATGGTAATCCCTCGTTGAGGTTGGAGAGGAGCCCAAGAATTATATTTATAGACTAGGAGAGCTGTGTGGTCTTCTGTGTGCAGAGAAAGGCTTGGGAGAGCAAATGTCAAAATTCTCAACAAAACTTCCGTGCGATTTGTACATATGACAACTGCATTTTGGGAAGGAACCCTATGTAGAGGGATGCTTGTACATGTGCATGGAGAGATTGACTAACTTTGATGGACCAATCATGAACCTGACTTTCAATTTTGACCTATTTAGTACCAATCCACTTATATTAAAATATTTCTAAGTGTTTTTTATTTTTTATAGACTTCGAAAATGTTGATTTCATCTAAAAATATCTTGTTGAGATTTTTGGAATTTTTAAGAATTTGAAAACAATTTTAAATGCTTTAGAAACCCTACAAGGATATTTACATAATTTAAATATTGCAGGGGTATTTTTGGAATTACGAATTTTATTAGTGGGACCCACATGGGGGGGCTAAGGGCCTAGCTCCCACATGTGGCGCCCACTTGGGCTTCACATTCTAGTCTGCACAACCCTAAGTCAAAATAGCCTTCTCCCCTTCAAATGCAATTCCAACTCCTTATTAGTCTAGGACGCCCTAGGCCCTAGAGTTATGTATAAAGGGCGTTGTTCTCCCCCTTAGAACTTACGCCAAGGCCTCTCTCTCTTTCTTTCTCTCCTCCACGCCACCTCTCTCTCTCATCTTTCTCACTCTCTGAGCACACAACCCTTCCTAAGTGTCAAAGGTGGCATGCCTACCAAAAAGGGGAGAAAAAGAGAGGGTTCGCCCAGCCCTAGGTTAGAGTTTGTGCCTTTGTGGTCTGCCTTAGGTTTAAGAAGGGTCTTCTCCGTGAAACCCTAGTTTTGTTTTTTACTCTCTTGCCCCATA